ATGCATCGTATTATTAAAACGCTAATAAATATGAATAAGGGATGCATGTTCAAATAAAAAAGAAAAGGTCATCTCAAAATTATGCTAAGCTTCCGGAAAAATAAGTTTCCAGTAAGACGAGGCTCCATTTTCAAAATACAGTAAATAAAGAATTAATTATTGTAACGTGGATTATTCCTGATTAAAATATTCGCAAATCACTATACATTATTTAACCCCTGCATTCAAAGATGAATTTACTTCATTTTATTCACATTAATCACGCAATGTTCAATGTAAGTTCAAGCATCTTATGTTTTGGGCATTTATCTTATTGCATATGTTTCCCTCGGTGCTTTTTGCAATGAAGGCTTCCATCTGAATGTTTTTCCCCGAACTAGAAATATTCAGATAGTTGAACGCGAGATTCATTTGGGTTCAAAGTACTTCAGATTATTTGCTGACGAAGCATTGTACCACCAGACAATATCCTGCGATATGTTTGCAGAAGTTCGAAGAACCTCTCATTCGCTCTTCTTATCAAATTGAATGTGCTTTATTACACAACAGCAATATGGTTGCTGGGTGAGCTCTGATGTTAATTGGACGATGCAGGGCCTCTTTAATGAATAAATTGTTGTTCCATTACGCAATCGAGAATCTTAAATCTTACAGAAATCCACCGAAACCTCCATCAAAACAGCTTATCTAGAACGAACATTTCTGTTCTCTATCGAAGCTCAACCTTTGTAGTCTGATATTCAAAAAGTTCGTCGTCGACAAGACACGTCATTATTGTTTATGCTTTTGAAAGGAATTCTAATCGGGCTTTACGTAACTAGCCTTCAAAGAGGGAACTATTCAAAACAAAACATTGGGTTTGTTGAGTGTGTATTCAGTTCTCGTTACTTGAACTTGAAAAATTGATGTGTCAATCGAAGTTCGAGACGAGTCATCGGGTGGAGTCAAACGGAGTGCTGTATTGCTGAACGGAAGTGCGTCACAGCAAGAAACTTGAGCTGTCGTCTATTAATGCCTGTTGCTGCGCCGCTTATATAATCAAACTTCAAAAGAATTTCAAAAAAGAGATTCGAAATTGAGTGAAACCACAAAAATCACAATTATTTCAACGCAGATTCGTATGAAATGAAATTATGAAAGGTACGTCGAGTCCAAAGGATGAAATTGATCTCCAAGAGCAACTTTGAAGTGTACGAGTATTAAGGTGCATCTCAGGGAAGAACTACTGTCATTTTTTATATTTTTAAAGATTTTTTGAAATCGTTATCCCCTGGCTAAGTCTAACATTTGAACCGATTTTTAAAACACATGAGCACGTACATTCATTCTGGAACAATTTCAAACCTTTTGCTTTAAACATGCGTCTGAAACCTTGCATATAGATCAATTTAACGCTTTTCTTTATCTATTATGCCTAACATTGATATCATCTCGTTAATTTATTTTGAAGATGAAGATCTCATGGGATGATACAGTGCTAAGATTCAATCATTCCGTCAGTTTTCAAACAACAACAAAAATCGGTCTTATCCTTGAAAAATCGAAAAAAGGATTGAATCTATATTTTGTTCATTGCTGAATATACTGTATTCTTTAATTTCTGAAAGTTTGCGTCTGAACTGCACTCAACTTTGCAATGATTGCTCTTATTTAGCATTTCTTATACAGAAGTAAAATTCATAAAATACCCGAGACACAAGAGACAGATATTTTCACCACTTTCCAATCGACCCTGAAATCAAACTTCATACAGAGGCAGCCTTTCTCTTCATTTGTACAGCATTCGTTTTTTTTCTGATCATCAATAGTAAGTGATTCTGTCGATTGGACCGAGTCGTGGAAATTCGCACTTTCATGCGCATATCGAACACGATCTTTCGCCGATTGTATTTTCTCCTCAGGCAAGAACGTGACGAGCTGTACTCATATACGTGGTAAGATCTGATCCGAAAGTGCAACAACTATTACTAAGCTGCCAATAGCCTCGAGGCGTTCTATTAAGCATAAAAAATTATGAAAAATGCTGGGTGTGATTTTCTTGATCTTCATTATGTCAGCTACGTGAAATCTATAGTTCTCGCATTCTCTGCAGTTGATCTTCGAAACGTTGACGCGTTCGGTTCGTATGATGTAAATTAGCCAATACTTGTGACATCCGTTAACGGTAACGAACCCGATCGAAATTTTCATCGTTTCGAATTATTACGTGAGAAGAATTTACTCATTAAGTTTCGAGCAAACAAATTCTTCCGATGTCTGATACGACTCCTATACTGGAGTAAATTTTCTTCGAAAGTTCATCAAACCTTTTCAAGACACAATATACGGGACTGACATTTTTATTTCAGGGCTGTTTAGAATAACCTATCGTATTTGAGAATAAGTTGTTCTCGATTTATTGTAATTAAAAATATAGCATCAGCACACAACTTACGTGGGCAAGTTTTTGGGTTGTGAGTTTCCCAAAGATTTTGATTAGACACGTTTGACATATATCCAGCTAATCTCAGAAATTTGATTATACAGTATGTAAAAAAGCATAAATCGCGTCGGGAAAAAAAATGAATCGCTCAGGCTAACTCAGTGATTCCAAGTATTTTTATCCTTGACCAACAGATAATTGTTACTGACACTCTATTTTTCAGGACCTTTATCAGAAAAATCCCTAAAAAAACGATTTGATGTTTTTAATTTAAAATTGTCGAGTCACTCATCAGCAACAGCTGAAAGACGTAAAACCGAATCCTTGAGCGACTTTTAAAAATTCTGAATTTTTTCGAGCAACATACAATAAGTCGCATTCACTTTTCTCGCGTAGAACCCTTTGCGCCGCAGATGTCTGCTTCACAAATTACTTTTTATCACATTTTTTGACAAAATGGTAAATGGGTAGTCTATATACTTTAAATGCAAAATTAATATGTACAATATCATAATGTTTGAAATTACTGCGATGAGGCTGACAAGTAGGCATTTCTTTTTAAACGACGCATTTGATCAAGTACAGTAATGTACCACATGTCTTTGGAATAATAAGGCATACGACCTGATTTTTTAAGCATAACATTTGAATAAAAATGTATCCCCATTCAAGACACTCACCCCAATTTTTTTTAGACGGAAAATTGAAATACTGTATTCTGAAAATTAAATGAATCAGATTAAAATTTTGGAGAAATGTTAAGTTGACTGTTGAATTTCTTCATTTGCCTTTTTTTAAACTTTTGGTAGAAACTAGAAACTGGTAGGAAGATCCGTTTTAGAATGAAGGAAGAGGTGTACCAAAGCTTTGAATATGTCTACAAATGTCATACCCGTCTATGACGGGTCTCTATTTTCTTCTTTAAAGTAAAAAAAAAAGAGCGCCTGTATCGAATAAATACATATACGTTTCTGTTGGAGTATTGTGTGAAATGAAGAAATAAAATATTCAAAATCCCGGTTCCATTCTCCTTTATTTCGGATCCAGACGCGGAAAACGCCACAAATGTCACATCGAAAAAAAAAACGAAAGGAGAAGAAACCCCGCTGCAAAAAAACCCCAGAATTCTGGGAAATAACGTACAGCTGTAAAGACTCGGGGCGCCAAAATAACCTCGAATTCGTTTTCCATCTAAGATAATACCCGATCGTCGAGAGGTCAAAATACTTCCTAGGCATCCACGCGACACCGATCAAATAATGGCACACCAAAAAAGTGAAAAACTCCAGCCGATCCATGGTATGTCTAGCAAGTGTCTACACGGGGCCGCCCTTTTTTGCCACATTCAACACCGATTCTCAGCCAATCGAATTACTCCCCTCTTTTCTTCAAAATTTCGCCAGCAGCGAAAATAAAGATAACAAGAACGACTAGCCATGCGCAAACAGCGAGACACGTAAAGTTCTGCTTTCCATGAAAAACGAAAAAAATTATGAGTTTCGAGAATACTTGGCGAGGTCTTATTGGGCCTCGATCGGTTTCGAGTCTGTATCACACATAACGAACCGCACCTTGACAACCTGATATATAAAATTTCCGGGTTTCCTTCGCCATTCTTCCAAAGATTTCTTTGCTGCTGCAAGTGCGCTGACACGACCGAGACATCACGACTGCAGAGAACTTCAAAGAACCCGTTCTTTGCTAATTTTTTTTCTTGTTTTGCGAAGATCTTCGCCACGAAAACAAAAGAGAACAATTTTTTTCTCGACATCGGAGACACCATCAGTCGACACCCACTCATCGCCGCCCTATGAATCACAAAGATGCCAGTAATCTCATTCATTATCCATTTGCTCTCCAAACACGCCATTGTTTTCCATCGAGATCGTTTATAAACGAAGAGCTTAGCTGAACCACGCAAAAAAAAAAGATTTAGCGACATTTATCAGCGCATTCAGAGGGAGCATCGAACAGCGACCGATCAGAAATATCAAATCAAGAGATCTTCACTGCTCAATATCCTAGTTGGCATTTTTGGAAAGGGCACTTCCAAATTTTTCAGATATTTTTCCGATTGACCCCCAGAATTTCAATGGCAGTTGAAGCAACAACGCGTACATTCCGAACATTTTTATTTAATTTTGAAAGCTAAAAAAGTTGTTCACAAGATTTTCAGTAGAAAAAGTAAAAGCTGCTTCTTTTTATTTATTTTTGTGAATGGAATTCAGTATTTACCCACGCAGCGCGAATGATACACAAATTCCGAATCTATTTAGATGCTGAGACACACTGAATATTACCCAGAACATTTTGAATTTGAATGAAACAAAGGCATTCAAGATTAACACGTTGATTCTATAATTTTGGCATGAATATATTATTCCACGCGGAGTCCCAGTGAAGAAGATATTGAGAGCCTTTGCTTCACAACAGTCGGTTATTGGTCGCTTTCCGTCTAGATTTTTTTTTTTCAGAAAGCATCGAAATAGACAAACATGAATGATCTTCATCAATAAGTGTAGATTTTCAAAGTGCCCTTTCCAAAAAAAAGCTTCATTGTAGCGATGCAACAGCGATCTTAGGAAACACCGGTGACAACAGGTTTCGCAGCGACGTTAGTGAGCCCGGCGAGGGCTTGTTTTTTTGTCAATTTCTCGGTCTTGGGTGCCTTGGGTCTCGGGGCCCGGGGTTTCTTCTTCTTGCCGTCAACTTGCGGCACGACAGCATCGCCCAAATAGGCGGGTTTCAGGTCCGGCACCGACTTGATATCACACCGGTCGAGGCTGGAAATGGGATCCAGCAGGGTCGAGATGTCTGTCGCCAGGCGCGGGATCTTGGGTTCCGGGTCGGGGCTCAGTCCTGAAGTGGGTGCTGGCGAGAAGTCGCGGGAAGTGTCGACATCGTCGTCGTCGTTGCAGCCCTTGGAGCTGGTCGGGCTCAGCACGGAAGAATTGTGGCACTCGTGCTTCTTCCATTTCGTCCGTCTGTTTTGGAACCAGATCTTCACCTGGAAAAATAGCAATTCAATAAAATTATTCATGAGCAAGACAAAATAATTCGGCATCAACTCCTGAATCCAAGTTGGAAAGTACTGTATAATCGTCAACAAAAAACGGCTTCGCGATTTTTTTTTTCACTCCCTGGTGTCGACTCGACTTCATCTTAATTGGAAACTATTTCAAGTTGAGCCTTCATAACTTCGTCAGCAATAAAAATCAGTATTGACCAATTAAATCCCGAATTTGAGATTTATTTTAATTTTATTATTATACTCAGCGAAATGGAAATTGTCAGACGATTCTTTTTACTCGCGCGTCTTCCACATCGTTGTTCTAATTTTAAACCATGCATTCATCTGATAAATACCGATTCAAATTTTAGAATTATCTACCAGCACGAACTGCTGAATCCGAGTGTGTAAATTTCATTTCTACTAAATAAAAAACATGCAGCTACGCGTTTTTGTTTAATCTCTTGCGCGTGAACATCATTTCATCTGATTTGGAACCGGAGAGTTGGCCAAGAAAAAATATTGGTGAAAGCCATTTCAAGTTAGGTATTTTCACTTCATTAGCGATGCATTTTCAAACTGAATTGAAGAACGAAATCCTCAATTAGAGGTTCGAGTCAATTATTCCTCAAACATGAAAAGAAAGCAAGCGGACAATTTTTTTTTAAATCACAGTATAAAATCACGTGTCTTTCGTCTAATTGGGAAACCAGTTCTTTACCTAGAAAACAGTAGTATCAATACGCGAGTAAATTTTGAAATGAAGAACATACTTTTTAATTCGAATTTGAATTAAAGAAAAAAGATTTCCCGGTAATGTGAAAGAAGTTCAGTGATTCGTTTACCCACGAGATCGTTAGACTACCCTGTTTCGTATTGCAACCCGATCCACCTCACAGAAAGATAAATACAATAAGTCAAACCGATACATCAAGAATGCTCACTTGAATCAAAATTGATTTATCATTCCCCAGAAATGCCGACACCGTGGTGTCGACTCGACTTCGTCTTCATTGGAAACTATTTCAAGTTGAGCCTTCATAACTTCATTCCACTTTGATTTAATTTTTTAGAAAACAACTTTACGTAAAATATAAATTCAAATTATTTTATGTGATTACTGTTCAGGAGGCAGGAGTACAGCAATCAGGTGCTGCATAAACGCCCGAACTTCAGTTTAATTAAAGTGCATTATTCTTTTCGATCAGGAATCAGATACTTGACACATATTCTCTCTCGATCTTCCGTTCTGGAGAACATTTGATGATGAAGAAAATCCAAATGAGTCATCATGATCTGCCTAATATTATCTTACATCCTTAATTCAAAGCAAGATCGAAACCTTCGACGCGTACACGCAAACATTATTCGACTTCGCTCATCCGTCNGCAACCCGATCCACCTCACAGAAAGATAAATACAATAAGTCAAACCGATACATCAAGAATGCTCACTTGAATCAAAATTGATTTATCATTCCCCAGAAATGCCGACACCGTGGTGTCGACTCGACTTCGTCTTAATTGGAAACTATTTCAAGTTGAGCCTTCATAACTTCATTCCACTTTGATTTAATTTTTTAGAAAACAACTTTACGTAAAATATAAATTCAAATTATTTTATGTGATTACTGTTCAGGAGGCAGGAGTACAGCAATCAGGTGCTGCATAAACGCCCGAACTTCAGTTTAATTAAAGTGCATTATTCTTTTCGATCAGGAATCAGATACTTGACACATATTCTCTCTCGATCTTCCGTTCTGGAGAACATTTGATGATGAAGAAAATCCAAATGAGTCATCATGATCTGCCTAAAATTATCTTACATCCTTAAAAGTTTCGTTCTAGCTTTGGAAGCTGCGCATGTGCGTTTGTAATAAGCTGAAGCGAGTAGGCAGAACTTTGCTTTACAAGTCTTCGTCTTTTATTTATTTAATACTAACTAAACTTAGCGAAGTTTAGGACCATCGAAGACCTTCATTTGAAATTGATCACAATATTTTTCTATCGAAGAAGCTGCAGAATCAGATTGTGAATCCGCGTTTGTACTTCACTTGAGTAGAAAATGCGCTTGACGACAGGAAATTGTTTAATAAATATTGTTACGGTTCAAGTTACAAAAACACATTCGAATGCATAATAAAATACATCGCATTTGTTCTGCTCGCACATTATTATCACTCCATCAAACGTATTTTTTATCACGTTTTTAATGAGATTTCGAACGGATAACGTTATCACAAAATTGATGCATGCAAATTATTTCCCAGAATTTTTTTTCTGTGCACCAGAAATGAAAATTAAAGTGCCTATAGACATGATGTGAGGGGTTCCAGCTAATATTTGAGCTCAGTTTTGTTGCGTAAAGATGGAAGCTAATGCCAGATTATTTTATTAATACGCATTAATATCGCGTGCAGGAAGGCCTCTAATTTTCTTCAGAATTGTCGTGGGAATTTTCTGGGCTTGAAGAATGATTGGACCCAGAGCCATTGTAACTCGTGGAACCGCTAAAGGCGGGAAAGCCTTCTTCTGTTTATGAAGAACCAGAGCTTTACTGCGAGCTCGAGCTTCTAGACTGCTGGCCTTTTGCAACAAGCAGCCTTTTTGTTCCGCTTATGTCCGGGGCTCGACGCTTCAGTGCTGCTGACGTTTGAACCAGCTCCGGGACTCACAGCACCGTCGCTCCTCTCCTCACATTCGGACTTCGTCACGCACAACAATGGCTCTTCAGTACCTGAAGATGCATCCGAAGCCGTCGGCACAACCTAAAAAAAAAAGAAGATGTTTTTCATGCTAATGTTCAGAACAAATGCGGTCTCGGTGAGTACCTGGGCAGCCGAACTCGCACTGGACAACGGAGAACACGCTGAGATGGATGGAGAGGCGTCAACGCAGTGCAGGTGCTGCTGTTGATGCGTGGCTGGCGTAACGGTTACGCAAACATTTGCGATGCCAGAAGAATGTTTGGTATCAAATGACATAGGTGTCGTGTCTATCTTCAAAGCTCCTCCGCTTAAATTCTGCAGCAAGGTTTTTATGTCGTTCTGCTTGGGCTTCTTCTCGGGCCGTTTTCTCTTCCTTGGAGTCGCATTTGGATCTGAGGAGAAATAAGCAAATTTAGGGTGCTGAAACGAATCTCTTTAAAAAACGCTTTAAGAACCAAGTAAAACTTTATGAGGACACAGTCAGTCTTTAGTTTTGGCTTAAAGCCTTTAAAGTTCGCCGCCTTCGCCAAGTTGGTGTAGGGTACCGAGAAACCAGCATACAATCATATTTTAATTATAGACCTTAATTTTTAGCACTTCATTTTTTCGGCGCCAAAAAGCTTTCCAAAAATTATGTTGAAACCACATTTTTTTGGAAAGGATGAACAGTCAATCCATAATTCGTGTAATACAAAAGAATCGAGTTAATTCGCATATATCCACGGATAAGTGAGGGTAAAAAATGTTTAATGGTCACAAAAAGGTGTAAGATCACGCAGGCATTTTAAAAATACAGTAACTAAACTGAAATATAATTTTTTATATGCATGATCCATCAAAGCTGTGAACCCGAATTTACAAACATGGGTATCTCCTAACTGGGTTCAGATAACACAATAATGATTTTAAAATATGTCGAAGGAAATATTTATCAATTATTTGTCGATTTTACGGGTTTCCCCGCCAAGATGGGTTAGTTCATCTTAGGTCTACATTTTAGCATTACACACAGTTTTGAGTTGAAATAGGAAATCTCCGGATAATTGTAAATGTGTAACACTGTCGCATAAGGTGCTGAACCTACCAATGCAAGAAATACGACTTTCTCCAAGAAGACGACGTATTCCATTATAGGTTAGCAAGGAACAAGATTAAATGAGCAGAGAGAGAGGCAAAACCTGATGAACAGAACACATCGTCCAAGGTCGATCACTCTAGGGGGACTTTCATTCATCCATGCCACTTCGCTTTCCGACGGAAGTACTGTACTGAAAAGTTCTGTGCTCCTTTTCCCCCACTTGCGAAAAACCAAAGGCAAGGTAGCAATTCGCCGTCCCGACACTTTCAGACAACGGCCTGCACGGGGGACATTCATCGAATATATATACGAGGGGTCGGAAATGGGCATGCGTTTAATGTTGAAACGAGCATTGCATTCGGCGACAGGGCAACTCAGGGCTGGCCAATTCAGCGCCAGCTGAGACAACCGAGCATTTGAAGCGTCCTTAGAAAATCTCATCTTCGTGATTTCTTCAACAGATGCATTTCAAAACTCTCGTTTTTAATTTATCGAATATTCCTCAATGTAAAGTCATACGTATGATCACTGCAGAACCAAAACGCAAATAAATAAGACGCATTTTTAAAGGAAAATATAAGCCGGAAAGATTTCACAAAAAATGGGAGAATCGTAAATAAAAAAGGGGTAAACATTTCGCTGTTGTGAAGCATCATGTTCATTAATTGCTAATCAGAAAGTTTCCTAAATGTCTAAAAAATAATCTATAAGGTACAGTAAGTTTCACGCATATGTTCAAAGGTCTGACGCGTTTTTTTTTTTTAATCAAAGAGGTAAAAATCCGCGCAGACTATGTGTACGTTAGTTAAAACTGAGACATAAAGTTTAGATTTTTTACATATTTTTTGTGATTTGGTTTTTAGTTTAGGGGTTCGAAAGTAACCCAAGGCCTAAAAGTCTGTTCTTGAAATTTCGCACCTCGATCGAAAGCCAGAAAAGATTATATTCACGCATCCAACCTCGGTACTTGAACATGACACACAAATACGCAGATACATTTCTGTTCGTGACAACAATACGAGCGTGTCTCGCACGATAAAATTCCTCGACTCTTTAATCGTTTCAATAAAAAAGTTTGGCACGCATCTAATCTACTGGAGAACGGGGTAATCCGGGGCTGAATTGAAGTACTGTAGATCCCCTTTGGCAATGAGTTGTCTTTGTCCCTGCTGTTGTTGGCGCCGAGTTGACCCCACACCCCCTTGGCATGCAGGATGCATCCGAACCCCGGGCTTCGCTTCGCTTCCAGCAAGCACATCGCGTTCTGGTTCCAGAGAGGAATATCGGAATAATGCGACCCCCGCGGTGGGGTGCGGCAGGCTAGATCAGGAGGAGTGCGAAGGAACACGCAACCCTGGCTTTGGGCCCGGCCTATTCACTTAGTCCTCGCTAAGGCGGCCAGCTCGTAGTAAGGCTACGATGCGGCAGCCTGCCTTAGGCCGGAGGGCGCCCAAGAAACGAGCACCTTTTGCGCTGCTTACTGACTGAGGAGCGCCTGGAATCCACCGTAAAATGCCATCACATTCTCAAAATTGACTAAACGCAAACAAGAACATCCGGAAAAAATAATTCGACGCGCGAACGGGTCCGCGAATGCTTCCCAACTTCCTGAAATCTTCGACATTCAAAATACGCAGTTTTCGCAGCTCAAACAAAAAATTCAGTATACATTACCTTCATTATTTCATGAAGCGCCTCGGGAGAAAATATGGACTTTAGATCAAAAACTGCTCAAATGATCATTTAAAAGTTAAAAAAAAAATTTCATACGCTCATCTGCAACCTGAAATAGCGAGTATAATAGCTTCAAATGCTAATTTTTGCAAGGTAGAGCAAACTTAGCACTACTGTATTCGAATCGATGCAACGATTTTGAAGAATAGACACTGATGTTGAATACTCGAAAACGAATCGAATAAATTTATTTTTCCATTGATAATTTTTAATGTTAGGCATAATTTTATATCCTGGTCTCTTGAATTCCTATAAACTCACATTCGAAAATGATTGCAGTCGAGGAGAGAGATGAATCTTGTTCTCATTATTGGATCGGATTTCAACGAAAAACGTAAAAGGAAACAATCGCGAAAAAAACTGAATTTTAAGTCTACGACTGAAATTTTGCACACTTGCTATGAACAAAACCACCGACAGGTCTGCAACTTGAAATTAGAAAAAAATATTTCCTCGAGTCCTATTTTTTCCTCATATTTGAAGGCTGTCTGGGTTCTAGAAATTACTGCGATTTCTCCTCTCTTGGTCTTTCTTCATGTGTATGACATGATTCCAAATTTATATTTTTAATTTGGTCCGCCTCATTAGTTCCTTCGTGCTGTCTTCAATCCACCCTTATCGTTAATTTATTAATAAGTGAAAATAATCAGGCTTGAATTGATGGATACGTGGAACTGACTGTTGACACCTACTGGGTAACTATCCCGTTTTACATTGAGATGAAGAGCATTAAATTGCACGCCATTTCCGAACTTCGTCTACGTCAGTCCTAATTTCATAACTATTCTGACTTTTACTACTCCTCCTGTTACTTCATTAGCGTGAGGCGAATAACTCGGCTTCAATAACGCTGTTTTTTCATTACGTGCATGGGGAAAAAATTGACATGTTCATAAGAGTCAAGCTAAAGCCCTTCAAAAGCGCCTTGGGTACGCATTCAAGAGAGAATAAGCGTACATCCTGCAGCAGCGGTAGCAGTGTCGAACCAGGGCGTCCCCTGCCCTCGGCTGCTGCTGCACAACGTCGAAAGACGTCGACGATGTCGACAGCGGAGATCGCCTCCCGGGGATTTCCACCGTCGGACTTTCGTCGACTGCTCGATCCGCTGAGTGGATGGGTCGAAGTCTGGTGCTCTCTGCACGGATACTGTGAGCAAGGTTTCTCAAGGGGTCTTACCCAAAGGTTGCACCAAGATAATTGTTGCACAGTACAAGGTGAAATCCACCTTTAAACGCGTGAAGACATTGAATTTATTTTGGCTTTTCTTGACTCGAAGTTTTTCTTTGTGTGTGTTTCAAACTGCATTTGATTTATATATTTGATTATGGGGGCTTCGACGTAAAGAGAAATGTTCAGCGACGACAAATGGAAAAAAATCCGCAACGCTTTTTGGGAATATGCCTTGAGCTTGTGGTCATAGTGAATTTTCTGATGGAAATTCCATTTTCTTTGGAAGGACAAGCAAGAAACAGGCAAAAATTACTCCTTGATAGAGATGTAATTTTTCTGCATGATTTTCCGAGTTTTCAAGTAAAAGATTTCAAATTGAACCAGGCAGTATTATACATTACAGTACTTCTACGTTTCTCGACAATCAGACCAGATCGTTGAATAAACGTGATCATTGATTTTAGTCACGACCTTGATTATTTTTCTTTATATATACAGTATCTATCAGTTGGAGTTATATTAATTTCATTTGGCTGCATTTTACCGATATCCATTTTGCCTTCTTTTATTGTGGAAAAAATTTTTTTCCGGATCCTAAAATTTTCCTAAAAACTGGAACACATTTTTTATAATTTAATCCCGAAAATATGCATGATTGTGCTTGAAAGCCGAAAATACTCTTCGCTCATAGAAAAAACTCACAGCTCAAATAAGCCTAACTATCGTATCTAATTTTATTTTTGTGGCATAACATTTATCTCAGGCTCAAATCATCATTTTCGAAAACGTAAATTAGCGTAGCTTCAGGAAAATTAACTCAAACCTCTTGTTCTGAAAAATTGATTCTGCTACGTTTTCAAGTTGGTGGCAAAAAGTGTTTTCGGATTCTGGACATCAGTGGTCAAAAACACTTTTCTCTCGTTCTCTAAATAATTAAAACACAGTAAAGTATTTCCAAATTTAAAAAATTGAGCAACTTCAAATTGTCCCTCTTCGTAATAACGAGTGGATTTCAAATTCATGATGCATCAACGGTTATTCAAAAGTTCCAAACACTCGAATTATACACCCTCCTGTATTAGCAAAGCGGGCGACACGACCCGCAGTCCAAGTCTCACCCCCATCACCCCGCTGACGCCGCCAATAATAATCGAAGCAATGCCAATAAGGAATCCCCGCCGATTTCACGACATCCCTCGTCGTCCCGAAATCCATGAATATTGAAACCCCTATAGAAGTTTCGGATACCACCCCTTTTCATTCGACGCGAGAGATGGAAGGAAGCAGCAGTGAGAGAGGAAGGAAACGCATTTCTGCCGCATGCCCGCCGCGGGGCAACGGGAAACAACGCTCGCGATCTCCAAGGGTTCTCGCAACTGAGCTGACAAGCGCCGGCACGTTCCTCATCACTTAATAAAGCACCCGTCGCACTTCCCGTCCTTTTCAAAAATCCCGCCGCTTTTCTTCTAGTACAGTATTTATTCTCCCTGTCTCTCCGCGAATTTTTTGCGCGGTTGCAGGCTCGCTTGAGCAACATGGCACAAAAAAAAAAAAAACAAGAAAGTTCGCGTGGGGGCGCGAAAGCAGAAAGTTTTTTTATCCTTGTCTGGTTCGAGGGTCGGGAGAAGGACCGGAAAAAAAAAAATCCGCGGGCGGTGAAAAATCGTTCTTTCCGCATTTCTCCCATACGATCTTGCATTAAAAAAAAAGACGAGTCATGCATCAAATCACTTGCCAGAATCCTATCGAAACCATCATGGGTCAATATCAACGAATAATTCAGTTCATGGTTTCGCAAAATCTCAGAAGTAAAGATCCGAGGTATTCGTGGATCATGTTTCCACCCATGCGTTGAAATCTGCGGAAAACTCTCTCAATGAAATTCAAGAAAATAACTTATACGTCCGTATTCATCCAAAAATAACCCTGAAAGAGCACAGTAAAATCCGATTTTTGCAGCCAGTGGAATTATTATCTATCTTTTTATATCCCGACATGATTTTATACGAAATACATGTAAAAACTCTGACACAATACAGAAATATCCCTGAGAAAAGTGGAAACGTTGTGCATAGCGAACGACTTCTCCTTTAGAACGAGGTCCTAAATCCTGGTCAGAAAGCAATTGGCAATTTTTTTTCGAGTGTTTTTCTGTTTTATGAAAAGCACCTAAATGTGTCGTAATTCGAAAGATTACGGAATGTAATTCTAAATTACTCATTTCGAACGATAGCTAAAATCGTTTAAGAAAATAACGTGGCAGGAAAACGTGCGTAATTTGTTTGTTTACAGCGTAGAAATATATGGAAATCGTTAAAATGCAAGGGCAATAAAATTCCGAAGGCGCGTAACAGTATTGATTTACGTATACTGTATAACCAACAGCTTGTAACGAAGATGAGACAAAATACCAGCAGCGTTTAAGGGGAGAAATAAGACCACGTGCCTCTTACAAAGCCCGAGATGATAATGAGAATGCGAAATAATTTCTGCCCGTACGTGTTCAGAACGAGGGTTTTTGGCAATGGGGGTAGCTGGCGGTGGGGAAAATCCGGCGGAGATTCGCGGCGTAAATCCCCCTTGAAATTGGCAACTGTCTCCAGGCGCAGATTCGACTAATGGCACCTATGAAGCCGTCTCGCTGATGACTGCTCCAGGGATGATGCAGCAGCACCATCAGCTGCAGCAGCAAAGAGACTAATGGGAAGGGCGGCATTTCTGCGGGAATGGTTTTGATGCAGAAAGCGAGGAATTCGGGCCGGGTTGCTGCTGCTGGTGCTGCTCATCGCACCAGGGGCCGCGGGCGTTATCAACTAACGTTGGTGCCAGAGAGGAAGACACTTCTGGGTAATAGGATCAGACCTTTTCCTCGCTTTCGGGTTGCTACGAGGGGCTGGTTCTTAAGCTTAAGAGATTTTTAAAAATAGATTCCAACGGAGTTTGAACAGTTAGAAAAAATGTATTCGCATAGCCCCATCATTAGGCAATACTTCATTGCTGTTGAAGATACTCTCTGTCGATTTCAATGCATTTGTTTTTTCATGGGATAAATCCAAGGATCAAATCAGTGCCGAAATTGAGTGTCTGTGACTTCTGGCTGTTCCCGAAAGTGAAGAACAACCTCAGGGATGGACTTCGAGGACAGGGACAGCCTCATTTCCTCCGTCAACGGGTAGCCTAATCAACAAAGGGAACTCAATTTCGGCACTGTTTTGATCATTGGATTTATCGCACGAAAAAAATCCACTGAAATCGGCGGAGAGTATTTTGAACAGCATTAAAGTGTTGCCAAATGATGTGGCTATTCACATTCCCTGCTATGTACGAGGGATGGTTCATGCATTTTTTGACTAGTTTGAAATACAGTTCATCCACCTGAGTTTCAACAATAATTTTTTTTTTACTCGTATAGCCTCATAATTTGGCAACACTTCCGTGCTGTTCAAGTTCAACATACTCTCAACCGATTTCAATGCACTTTTTCATGCGACAAACCAAATAATGTAATCAAAACAGTGCACAAATGATTAATTGCGTAAGTTGATCAAGCTGCTCGTTGAATTTTTTTTTGCCGTTGAATTATTTTCCGAAAAAATAATTCAGAACGAAATTATTGCAACCTATGACTTCTGGTTGATTTAACAGCCAGAAGTTCACGTAATTATCACATTTTTTCACTGTTTTTATCATTGGGTTTATCGCATGAAAAAGGCACTGATTCGGTGGACAATGCGTTGAACAGCACTCAAGTGTTGCCAACTGATGGGGCTAAGCGACTGACTTTTTTGACTATTTTTGAAAATCCGAACCCAGATAAAACTTTTCAGAGTTTTGAATACTTGGTTGGGAGCATGTATAATCGTCCCTTACACCTGGTGCCCCAAAGGAAAAGAGTTGACCCAAGAGGTGGCCGCTGCTTAACTCGGTTGTACAAATTTCCTTCGAATTGATTCAACCACTCGTCTGCGCCGGGATCCTCAGTCCGACGTTTGTTTAATAAAGCATGTATCCGCAGAAAAGTACTTGTGCACCTTTGTAGAAAGTTCTTGGTCGAAAAAAGAAAAAAATGCCGAAACAAGACACCTGCTTTCTTGACTCAAGGGCATGTGTTGCGTGTAAAAAGCCTTGCCATCAATTTTAGAATGATTCATTATTTTTATTCTGGATTTCCTGATGGAGAGCGAAAGAAAGGATTTATGATCAAGCACCTTTTTATGATAAATCGATCTCGCCTTACACTCGAAAAATGTGCTAAACCGAGAAGGAAATCGTTCATATGAAACTGGTTTACTCAATAAGGAAAACGATGAAACACACTTTTTCTAGAGCAAAAGTGTGCTGTATACATCACTATATTTTGCATTTTTTTAGATTTGCACTGTAGAAGATCATTTTCAATCAACTCAAACTTTCCATTACTGCAGTTTCCTTGAAAAAATTCAGGAACACGGATTTCCATAGCATTAAACCTCGCCAGCGTTGGGATTTTATTTGCAGGATGCTAAAAGTCAATGATTGAAATTTCCGCGGAAACAGGTTTTAAAAAATCAGCTACTGTATTTGAAGCAAGGGCGTTTTTAGTTTTGCTGTCGCACGCAAAATTTAAACTGAATATACCAGTCAAGTTAGGACCTTTTACATTTTTGTCTAATTAATAAATAAGTTCGGCCAACTCTAGCGCTTTCTGCAGTATCCGCGGTTTTCAAATGCAGAAATTACTATGAATCATTTAAATCAACACCGTCACTTGGTTTTATTTGTTTTTATTATAAAACGCGGAAGCAAACCAACAACGGCCAATGATATTTTTCTCTCTGTCGAAAATAAAATTGCAGTGGAAGGTAAATGAGTCGCACACACTTCGAAATGTGTATGTTCCCAGCAGGAAAAGATGAAGTACGTTGAATGCTAGGGTCTGGGAATTCCGTCCGACATTATTTTTAGCGAGCTCGTCGACTCGACGTTCCATTGGGTCTATTTTGAAAAGTCTCAAAACTTATGAACCAACCCTCGTACATATTAGCAGGGAATGTGGACCACGGGGTTTCCTTTTCTCAACTGGGTTCTCCACCGGCGACGAATTGAGCCAACATGTGATTTCCTTCGAATTGATTCAACCACTCGTCTGCGCCGGGATCCTCAGTCCGACGTTTGTTTAATAAAGCATGTATCCGCAGAAAAGTACTTGTGGACCTTTGTAGAAAGTTCTTAGTCGAAAAAAAGAAAAAAAATTCCGAAACAAGACACCTGCTTTCTTGACTCAAGGGCATGTATTGCGTGTAAAAAGCCTCGCCATCAATTTTAGAATGATTCATTATTTTTATTCTGGATTTCCTGTTGGAGAGCGAAAGAAAGGATTTATGATCAAGCACCTTTTCATGATAAATCGATCTCGCCTTACACTCGAAAAATGTGCTAAACTGAGAAGGAAATCGTTCTTATGAAACTAACTCAAGGAAAACGATGAAACACATATTTCTAGAGCAAAAGTGTGCTGTCTACATCACTATATTTCGCTTTTTTTTCGATTTGCACTGTAGAGATCATTTTCAATCAACTCGAACTTTCCATTACTGCAGTTTCCTTGAAAAAAAAAAATGCAGCAACACGAATTTCCATAGTATTTAAGCTCGCCAGCGTTGGTATTTTACTTGCAGGATGCATGATGCTAAAAGTTAATAAAATTATCATTCATGGAATTTCCCCGGAAAAAAGTTTTTAAAAATCAGCTACTGTATTTAAATCGAAGAAGTTTTTAGTTCTGCTGTTGCACGCAAAATTAAAACCGAAGACCAGTCAAGTTAGGACCTTTTACATTTTTGTCTAATTAATAAATAAGGTCGCCCAACTCTAGCGCTTTCTGGAGTATCCGCGGTTTTCAAATGTAGAAATTACTATGAATCAATTAAATCAACACCGTCACTTGGTTTTTTTGCTTTTATTATAAAACGCGGAAGCAAACCAACAACGGCCAATGATATTTTTCTCTCTGTCGAAAATAAAATTGCAGTGGAAGGTAAATGAGTCGCACACACTTCGAAATGTGTATGTTCCCAGCAGGAAAAGATGAAGTACGTTGAATGCTAGGGTCTGGGAATTCCGTCCGACATTATTTTTAGCGAGCTCGTCGACTCGACGTTCCGTGGGAGGATTTCTCCGCGTCAGGTGGTTTATGAAGGCCGTCGACACGTTAGTTCAGCAGCGAGAAACGACTGGTTTTAGCCCTCGTCTAGTTGATTTATTTTCACAGTTCCTGATATAATCCTTAGCTTATACGACAAGTTCCGTGGAGAGTTTCAAATCGCGAGATCCCCGCTCTGAACCCATTCCATCCGAATCTATTGAAGCCCATGGACACGCCTATACGAGGACTTTTGTAGTCGGTTCAAACTTTTCGGGACCACCGTTGGATCCAGTCGAACTGAATAATTGACGCGATTGAAATATTCCCACCAAGCCATCATTTAATGAATATAAGTCAAACTTCTCGAAGTCAAATTTTAAGGGATCAGCAAAAAAATCGACTTAGGGAGGTTTTGAAGAACATTTACAGAGGTTTCAAGTTAGGAAAAAAGGTATTTTTTTGTGGGAAAAGTAGAATAATTGCAAGAAATTGTGGTATTTTGGGCCTTAAATTGTTTTTAAATGATTTGACAGGATGCTGAACTTGGAGCCAGGGGTTCATTCGCCCAATTAGTCTTTCACTTACTTTCAAAGCACATCAAGTTACTTTTTTTATTGCTTTTCTATTTCCTGCGCCAAGAAAATAGGCGCCAAAAGTCCTCAGAAAATGGGACTCGCAGAAGTTTGAGAGGAAAAGCCTTCAAGTTAGAGAGTTTTTTTATGCATTGTTCCTGAGGGAATTCAGACAGTGATTTGGAAAAAATTAAAATTATGGAGTATTTGACTTGGGGAGGTTCAAGTTATAAAGGATCAACTGTATTACATTACATATGGAGATGAAGGCAAATAAATAATTACGCTGAGAGGTACAATTAAACTGAATCGATTAACCGATTTCTCAACATTCTTATGCTTATAGACAGTTATTCTAAGATAGATATGCATTCGCGAATGCTGATTTGAATATAATACCAGCCTGCAGAACATCCTAATTATCAAAACAAGGCCAATATGCTCAAGACACGAATTACGATAAGCTGGGATACAAGAATCGCCACGAGGAAGATAATTGCAAGGTATGTACAACAGTACTTGAATTGTTTGAAAAGAAGGCATGAAAATACGATGAGCTTTGATGCTCTATAATCACTAGCTTCGATAAAATTGATTGTAAACGATAGTTCATGAATTTGCATCATCCTCGCGGCAAAAATATCCCAACCTTGCTTTTAATCATACTCCAGGCGGCATTCTCATTCCCATGCATTGATTATCTCCGAATTATTTTCGATTCAACTTCAAATCATTATTTTTCCGGGCCATTCGCTTCGGGGACAATTTCAGGAAAGCTTCCCTAAAAAAAATTTTTTTTAAGTCTAAAAGCCCGGATGCCATGAATGAAAGAACGGCAATCATGTTTTCAGATTTTTCCCCTGTTCATACAAAGAGTATCGAATTGTGTGAATAAATGCCCTATAACAGCAGATCTTCGCAGATCGGGGCAAAAATACAGTATTTTCTAGTGTCAATAATAGTTTCGTATAGGTTCCCGGATTCTCTTATACACCAATATTCTGCGGATAAAAAATATTT